AAAAAAAAAAAATAAAAAAAAAAAAATAAAAAAATAAACACATCATGGTAAAATTAATACCTTCTCAGCTTCGCATCGAAGCTAAAATTGAAAAAATTAGCGATTTTTTAATTTGTCATTTTTGGGAGATTTCCCCCGTTTACAGGGAATGAGGAAATTTTTTTCAATTTTTGAGGATAATATCTTCAATTAGATACGATTTGTGATCTTTTAACGTATCGTTGAAAGAAATCAGTTTGGTGAGAGCTAAGAAAAAGTGATAACAGACACAAAAAAAAATTAATAAATAAAAAACAAATCCTAGTAAAATTAATACTTACTCAGCTTCGCATCAAAGCTAAAAAAAAAAAATGATGTGATTTACTGAAGTTTTTATTTAAAGATTTTCTTTATTTACATTTATCTTAATTTTATCATAGATACTTGTTAATTGAAATAGTATTAAATCTAAATAGTATGATTGCAAAAGAAACCGTTTAGCATATTGAATTTTAACGAAAAAAGTATAAAATAAACACAGCATTTAATGTATTCAGGACTTCGAGTTATTTCTAAATTGACTAAATTCGTTGTTTTTACTAATTGATTTTCTAAAATAAAGTAGTAATAAGAATAATTTAAAAAAAAATTGAAGTTTTAAAGTTTAACATATGCGTTATTTAAAATGCATAAATTTGTACATACATTATAACTTGACAGCTTAGTTTTACTAATTTCCTTTCTCAATTTACAACGTATACATACTTAAAGTTCACAAATATTGACTGAGTTGGCATAAACTTTCTTATTATCTTTTTCAATTAGTTTTCATTTGTGTTGCGTTTTTGTCAGACATCTCTTATTTATGTTTACTTTTTCTTTTTACTTTTCAGTTTATTGAGAGTCAATGTGGTCTTCCCTCAAAGAGGAGGTTTCTTAACCATATACTCGTAAACCCAACCGGGGGGAGAGCTGGCGGTGACTTCAATCATAGAACTAATCTTTCGCTCAGCAAACAAAGCCACCCGTGGCTGAGTCTTGATCCGAGATAATATGCATATAGGTGAGTTTGGGCAACCATAGGATAATTAATTGGATCAGTAGATGGTAATGCAGATCAGCTGGCTTAGCCGGATGTTGATCCCTTAGTTTCCAAATAAGTTCAATTATTGTATAATTGGTTATATCAATATACAGTGTGATTTACCGTGTACCATTGGATTTCTTCTAAAATAATAGTAATATCAATACCGAATAGAACTTCTAGAGGTATCAACTTATTTTTTTTTAATGTGACGCAGACTCCTAGTCAGCGTAATACACTCGATCCTCCTATACGGGTCTCGGGTTTGGGTAGATACTCTTGAGTATTTGTCCAAGAACCTAGAAGCCCTGCTCAAGGTGCGATCCGGACCGTTTCGGCGTACCGAACGGTGTCCGGAGTGGCAGTGGGTATCCTGTCTTAATCTGCTTGCCGAGGAACACGCCGCCGGCCATGAGTTCTGCCGAGAACGCGGCCAGCCCCTCCAACTCGAGGACCGGCTGGCACTTAGGCAGATGACCATCCTTCGGTGGCGGATTCGCCTCTCGGAGGAAACTACGAGAGGCAACAAGCGATCACTGTTCGGATCGCCCAGGAGAGGTAGACAGCGCTCTACACATCCTCTTCCTTTGCGAGGCGTGGTCCTAGAAGCGGGACTCTTTGGAATCCCGACTTGGGTTCGCGTTCCCAGTCGAGTCCATGGTGGACCTGTTGTTGGGAGACGGGAGACATGGAGGCTCGCCCAGGCGTTCATCGCATCCGTCTTGAAAAAGAAGGAGGAAGCGGAACGCCTGAGACAGAGTCAAGCACGCCACCTGGTAAAGAAGGACCTAAGGTGCTGATTTAGGCTAGCGCCTTAGGATTTCGTGTTTTATGTGTTCTTATATGTGTGTAAATTATTTTGCCTAATCCTCTCAAAGTCCTGCTCCCACCTCCACGTGATGCAACCCAAGTAACAGATGCCCAACTGTAGTTTCAGGACGGTCTACATTAATGCCGGCCAAGAGAAAAAAAAATGCTAATATTTTAAAAAGTTAGACTTCAAAATTAGTTATTGACCAGTGAAAATTTTATTTAGACCATCTCCTATTTAACAGTAGAAAAAATAATAGTACGATCCCATTTAACTTTTGAAATATACCCCTAATATCTACCCTCAGAAATACTTTTTTATTATAATAGACTTGATATTAACAATGGTCTACGAAAAAACAATTTAATTTTAATCCAAATTATTAAATCATTATTTAACGGAATAATTGAGGATAGTATTTTTAATAAATCAGACTGTATATTTACACTAGTATGTTGCCCTTATAGGGAATAGACCAAAAACTAATTTAATCACTTATAAATTGAAAAATAAATAGTACTACATTTAGCGAAAATATTCCTCATAATTTTATTATTTTAGAAGAAATCTAATGATCAATGATAAATAATTTACTTCGTGTGTTAATTGTAGTAAGAGTAATGTAAATTGTCGTGTACCCAAGTATTTATTTTATTTAATTGGTAATATATGTACAAAATCATTTTATTATTTTTTCTTGGTTTCCACCATATTGTGTAAGTGGAACTTTAATTGGTATAAATAACTTGAAAGGGCCAATTATGCTATAAAAGCTTCGGAATTAAAATCATTGTAAATAAAGATATTTTTAAATATTAGTAATTTATTTTTCTCATTATTAACTACTAAAGGCTATTAAGAAAAATTAAAGGAAATGGTAACATAGTGAGGTCATGGTACAGTGGGGACGTGGTATAGTTGATACAAGTATATATGATATTTAAATCAATATCATAAAAAATACTTCGATTGTAATATAGCAAAATAATACTTTTGTCTAACTTCGGGGCCGTTTACATACAGAAAACAAGTCATTGGGACAAAAATATTTTTCTTTAACTAATAGTATGTAATATAAGCTTTAATTATACATATGTATAAAGCTTGACAAATTTCTGGAACATGTAGTTCAATGTGCGTATGTTATATAAAAATTTCGTATATTTTAAACAATTTTAAAAAATGTAATATTTTTTTGGGAAATACCACCATTTACGTGGAACTAGGGAAATTTTTTCGATTTTTGAGGGTAATATCTTTGGCTTGATAAAACGTGTTAAACTTCATTTTGCTATAAAAAATAAAAAATATAACCACATTAGAAAGCTAATAACCCTTTAAAATCACTCTATTATTAATTAACAATTAAATAAAGTATATGATACTTATTTAATAATTGAAACGCATAAATTATTGATACATTATTATGTAAATATTTATGTACAAATTTTTTAATTATAAATTTCATTACATATTATAATGAAAATTTTATACTTAAATATTGTAAACTCAAAAAAAAAAAATGATATATTGGTAAAATATTAAGTATATGTAATACTTGAGTTTGTCGAGTTATTTCTCTAGTGAAATAGTTTTTTAATATACTCATTAGTGCTACCCTTCAAATCAGTTTTTTAATATATTTATTAAAACTCAAGAATAGTCTGTTGTTGATAGTTTTCTTTATTAAACTCCGTTAGATTCTTTTTTTTGTTAATTGAAACTTCAATTCAATAATTTTCTAAAAGCCTCAATTTTCATTCCCTCTTTGAATTTTGGATATTAATTTATTTTTTATTTCTGAATTCAATTGTGATTCTTTAGGCAATGTATAATAAAATTATCACAATATTATGGTAAAAAAAAATAAATTCATTTATTTGATTACTTTTCTCATAATTTAGTTTATAAATTATTTTTGTAAAGATATTTTATAATTGCTTTTTGATGTTCTTTTTAAATGTCATAATACATATCAAAGAAACACAATGAAACTTTTATTAGAGTAAATCTCTTTATAGCATAAATACTTCCAACGGTTGATTTTTGAAAAAAAATATTCCAGTATAGTTTTTTTAGCTTTGATGCGAAGCTGAGAAGGTATTGGTTTTACTATGATGTGTTTTTTTTTTTGTGTGTGTGTGTCTGTCACCACTTTTTCTCAGCGCTCACTTAACGGATTTCTTTCTGCGATATGTCAAAAGATCACAAATCGTATATATTTTACCTCAAGATATTAACCTCAAAAATTAAAAAAAATTCCCTCATTCTCCGTAAATGGGGGAAACCTCCAAAAAAATTACAAATTTAAAAATCGCTAATTTTCGAAATTTTTTCCATTTTTTTAACTAAAAACTGCCGTAACTTTTTCAAAAATGAACATATCAATGTAATTGTTTTTTTTTATAGATGCTTGATGTTTTTACCTATCATTTGGTATATTTTTTTTGTAAATTTGACCCTTTATCTGCCCACAGGGAGGGATTTAAAATGACAACTTTTTCACAAAAAATTTACTTTTTCAACTTAACTTTTAAAAATGTTCCGAAAGTTCTGACACTTTTATATATATCTTAAAGCTAATGTAATATACTTTAATTTGAAAAAAAAAAATTTGACCTCTGGACTTGTCTTCACGGCTACCGAATGCTATTTTTGTGTGAAAATTCTTGATTTTATTTTTTACATTTTTAACTTTATAATGCTATAACTTATTGAAAAGTGTATGGATCAACACAATTTTTTTATGAGAAATAATATTTTTTAATAATCCCTTTTTCATTCGACATACATTATCTTAATCAAGATATTAATACGGAACTAGCAGATCATGTAGCTTTTGGAATAATACACAATTTTTTTAAAATTAAACACTATCTAAAGATTTGCATCGAAGCGTTTTTTTTTTTGATAGTGATTTTAATCACTGTCAGATATCATTATACTTGATCCAACTATGCAACGTCACCACTGTGCCGCGACCCCCCGTGCTGGGTTTTTTAAAATATGTCTAACACGAGAAAGGTAAAATAGAATAAAAATCATTTTCAAGGAATATTAATAGTGTTGCATGTGGGATTTTTATCGGCCTGCAACAACAACGTGGTTTGCCACTCGCATAACAACTAGCTATAGTAACAAGGGTTGTCACCACCTAGGCGAGGTGTCACACATGATATGATTACCGGACCATAGGTGGAATTTAATTTTTAGTTAATTAAAAGTGTAATTTAAGTTAATATGTCGTTATATGTATAAACGATTACAATATCTCGTGGTTTATTAACCACAACTATGAAAATTGAAGTTGTATGTGGTTGATATGTAAAACATACCGTAGCATGTGTCTATATTAAGGAAGAGGGATAAAATACGCGTGAGTACTTAAGTTATTTGCGGAATAAAATAAATATTACAGTTAAAATTAATAAGGATATTAAATTTAATTATTAAAAAGGAAAATTAAGTTAAACATGGACAAAAATACGAATGCATCAAAAAATATGTCTACAAATAAAGGCAACAAAAATAAAATAAAATATTTAACAAAAAACAAATAATATCATAAACATCATGGACGGTATTGGAACACATTCGTTAATGTTAATGGGAAATTAATGAAAAATACCAGGAATAGTCTGGATACTCGCTCCTCAGCGTCGGCTAGAAAAATGGGAAACACGTGCTCTCCACACATAAACAAAAATAAGTTAATTTATAATAAAATAATTAATAAAATATAGCTCATCACATAAACATAATTATAAAATAGAAAACGATACTCGGTCTCCGAAGAGACCGGCCGTTCACCGTTGGCAGCTCTACTCTGATATTGAAGAAAGTGACAATAAGACAACAAAAATGTGCACATTAGCACGGTCAATCAAGAAAGATGGAGAAGAGCCAATACCGATGTAACGGCAATTTCAAATCGATAACGGCCAGTCTTTTTGGGAGGGATCAATACCGATAAACAATTCGATTTTAATTATATTTATTTTCTTTTGTCACCTTATCTAGCGGTCAACGGCAAAAATAATGAGTGGCTGACACCGCTGTGTCAGGAAAAGGTTCTTTCGCGTGATAAAATAAATAAATAGACATAACAAAAAATTATAAACGATCCACCTACGAATTTGTGACGTTACAGTGTTTATTTTATTTAAAC